GTCTGCCGCTGTGGTCCCCAGGGTTGGTCACCAGACATTTCTCTGTGCTGATGCTCTCTACAGAACCCTGGACACGATGGCCCTGGGGGACCGACCCAGGGGCCAAAAGTTGGAATGCTAGTGTTATCTGCAAATTTGATAAGCACACTCTTAGCCCTCTTCCCCAGGACATGCAATTAAGCTATCAATTACTCAGTTATTAGGTGGAATGATCTACGCATGTTCATGAAGCCAGGAATTCTTAGCAATGTCATCGAAGTCTTTAACAATCTTACTGGTTTTTTTTGTGGGGGAGGCAAGTTCGGCTTGTTCTATACACTACTAAAAGAAGCATATTAAAATCTCTCCCTATGTTGGGAATTTTTCTATTTCTTCTCTGCCAGTTTTGCTCTACATATTTTGAGGTCTTGGAATTGGGGCTATTCCAATTTTGAATATTAGGGATTATACATCTTCCTGGTGTGTTGAATTTTGTATAAGTAGGAAATGTGTCTCTTTTTGCTTGTTTTGCTATGCTGCAAGGCATGCAGGGTCTTAGTTCCCTGCCCGACCAGGGATCCTGGGATGCAAGCCCTGCAGTGGAAGTGCGGAGTCTTAACCACAGAACAGTCAGGGTATTCCCAAGGAATGGGTCTCTTTATCCCCAGTAAAATTGGGCAAAAAATCCAATTTTATTGGATTTACATATGACAATGCATTCATTTTGTGTTTGTTTCCACTTATACACATACGCACGTGCGCACACATACACACACTCATGTAACTGTCATCACAATCCTGTTTTCACTTTTGCCTTTCTTTACAATCCCGTGTTTAGTGTTTTAGTGAAATTCATTGAGGCAGAATTTACATTCAGTAAAGCTCACAGTTCCATGAATTGGGACAAATGTATATAGTTGTGTAACCGTCATCATAAGCAAGATACAGAATATTTCCATCAAGAATTCCCTCAGGTTCTTCTGATGGAGCAGTCAGTTTCAGCAACTTTAGCCGGGCAACGTGCACTTTATCTGGTGACCCTGAACCAACCCTTTTCCTCATCCCATCCCCTGGTGACCTCTGGTTCTGTCTCTATACTTCAGTCTTTTGATGAAAATTATGTGAATGGGATCATATTGTAGCCTCTGACATCAGGTTTCTTTCTCTTAGCATAGTGCTTCTGTGACTCACCAGTGTTGGTGAATGCAGTAGTCCATTGTATAGACACAACACATTTTATCTATCCATTCACCCACTGAGTCATTTGGGTGTTTCCAGCCTTTGGCAATTATGAATAAAGTTGCTATAGACTTTTTCATACAGGTCTTTGTGTGAACAGATGTTTTCATTTCCCTTGGGTGAATACCCAAGGTGAGTGGGATTGCTGGGTTATATAGCAAGTGTATATTTAACTTTATGAGAGACTGTCAAACTGTTTTCCAAAAGACTCTACCATTTTGCATTCCCATCACCAATGTGTAAGAGTTCAAATTGTTCTGAATCTTCGCAGATACTTGGTAGTTTTGGAGGGACTGGGAAGGAGGACAAGGGGATCCCCAGGATGCTGGTACTGGCTTTCTTATCTGAGTGGCTACACAGGGGGTTGTTAGTGAAAATTCATCAAGCTATAAATCTGTACATATTCTTTTCTGTATGTATAATAATCATCAATAAAGATTTTTAAACTATACAAGATACCTTTGAATAATTTTGCTAAATTAGTGATGTGTTGAAATTTAAAATGTGCTTTTTTAAAAATTGAAAAAGTCAATGTATATCTGTAGCAACCTGCTTTCGTAATCTCTAAAAAAAATTTTCCAGCTAGCCACAGTAAATATCTGAAAGGCAAGTTAATATTTCTGAACATTGCAACTGACAGGTCAGCAGGATCAATCGAATAATGTGTACATAATTATATTCCTATCTTCATAAATTATCTATTTTTATTCTAAAAATTCTCACAATTTCAATGTCCTCAATTTTGTGTTTGGAGTGTAAAAATGACTGTAAAGTGTAAAGCATGAGGGGAAATATTGGTCTTGTTTTCTTCCCTAGGAGCAGTGGTTCGGCATTCACTAAGTCCGAATTCACGGCAACTTTATTAAGCATAACAACCACAAGTCATGAGAATTGACTGTAGGATAAACTGAGGCACAGAGTGGCTTAGCCTCTTGACCACTGTCACTCAGCTAAAAAGTAAAGCAGCCAGGATCTGAAGCCTGGCAGTGCTACTCCATGGCCCTAGCATTTACACAGGGGATCGCGCATGGCATTACATTCAAATGACATTATAAATCAACAGCTAAAAGGACCAAGCTGAGTTTGTTATTTAGTCATTTCTGCATAGAAAGAACCTGAGGGCATCAGTGCCCTGAGTCACAGCGTGAGGATTTAAGCTTATCCTTCCTTCTCTGTCTTTAATTCGTCCCCTGCCATCAGAATCAGCTCGCCTGGCCTGCTTCATTGCTCAAAATACTCTGCACAAACAGTAACGTGGTTCCCAGAGCTGTGTTCAGTGGATTCGAGGTGCCAGGTGACCCCAATCCACTGAAAGTTGCCAAATTCCCCTACGAGAGAATGAGTTTCCCTGTATCCTGGACCACCTCAACAAGGTCTCTCCACTGCTGTCTGAAACCATTTCCTTGCAACATTCTAGACTGGGGGTTTGCAAGCAAATTCTGAAGGGCCAGGCAGTAAATATGTTAGGTTTTGGTGAGCCAAACAGTCTCTGCTGCAACAATTCAACTCTGCCCTTGCAGTGCAAAAGCAGCTAGATAATACATAACAAAGTGGTGTAATGATATTCCAATTAAAGTTTATTACAAAAGCAAACACTGGGCTTCCCTGGTGGCTCAGTGCTAAAGAACCTGCCTGCCAATGCAGGAGACACTGTTCAATCCCTGATCCGAGAGGATCCCACCTGCTTCAGAGCAACAGAGTGGCTAAGCCTGTGCACTATAACTATTGAGCCTGTGCTCTAGAGTCCAAGAACCACAGCTGCTGGGCCCACGTGCAGCAACTACTGAAGCCCATGTGCCCTAAAGCCCGTGCTCCACAATGGAAGAGGCCACTGAGATGAGAAGCCTGCACGCCACAGCTAGAGAGTAGTCCCTGCTTGCTACAACTAGAGAAAAGCCCTTGCTGCAACAAATACCCAGCACAGATAAAAATAAACAAGCAAATAAATTGTAAAAGCAGACAGAGGGCCAGCAGACCCTGCTGTAGACCATGAGCTCCTTAAGAAGGAAGGCTGTGTCTTATCTTTGTAATTTCAGCCCTTGTAGTAAAAATTGTTCCGGTTTTGCCAAAGAGGAAATAACACACAGGATCACAGAAGTTAACTTTGAGGAAGGCAAGCACAGAACTATAACTGGTTGCTTGAGTGTATTTTCACTTCTGAATTGAACAGAGATGCTGTACTTTTCATGTTAGATTGGAGCTAGTTGGGAAAATTAAAGCAAACACAAACCAAAGGAGCTTGTCTTCATGAACCCTTCCATCTGATCTACATCTCAGCAAACCTATGTCTTTCAGAGTAAGTTCTACACAACCTGAAACCATGGTGTACTGGGCAGTGCCATCACTAAAGTGAGTTTCAGGTGCTCCGAGGGCTCACAGCTGGCTAGCTGACTTTGTCACACACCTCCAGTTTTCTGTGTCACATTTAATTTCTCAGCCCAGGGCCCTGCTGACTGAAAAAAACATACAACCTACAAGTTGAGAATTATGTGTTATTTGGTGGACAAAACTGAAGACTTAAGCCAAGTACACAGCATCTCAGAAAATTCTGAGATACTGCCCCGAATAGGTAAGGGAGGAACCAGGAGATATAGGAGTTTCAGCAACAAAACCCAGCAAGTTGAAACATCAAAAGATTACTGTTCAAGAAAACCAAGAATCTCAAGTCAACGATTTTGTGCTTTTCCTTGTATTTGTGTGCTATGCTTAGTTGCTCAGTCATGTTTGACTCTTTGAGACCCCATGGACTGCATCCCACCAGGCTCCTCTGTCCATGGGATTCTCCAGGCAAGAATACTGGAGTGGGTTGACATGCCCTCCTCCAGGGGATCTTCCCAACCCAGGGATCAAACCCACATCTCCCGCATTGGCAAGTGGATTCTAAATCGTTCAGGCACCAAGGAAGCCCATACATACAGGCATTCCTTTTTAAGATTCTTTTCCATTATGGTTTATCCATGGGTAAGGAAGATCCACTGGAGGAGGGCACAGCAACTTAACTCCAATATTCTTGCCTGGAGAACCCCGTGGACAGAGGAGCCTGGCAGGCTATAGTCCATGGGGTCGACTTGGAGACTAAACCATCACCACCAATACCTCTAGAGCCTCTGTCTCAGCCCTCAAAGCCTATTTCTAATGAAGGTCAAGTCCCGTCAGCTTTACTCTGTACTTCATTCTGCCCCACTGTTATTCACAGCTCAGAATTAAAGAACATTCTGTGAGCTTCAGTTTCAGCGTCTGTAAAACGGGTGCGAAGCGTGACACAGGGTTACTGCAGAGTAAAATCACTGAACCAAGCTCAGGGCTTGGCGCGCCCAAGTGCTCAAGACCCACAGGTGGCCATCTCTACTATTACTTAGTCCCAGCGCTGGCCCCTGGGCCTGGATGAAGTCTGCGGGATGGGGGCGGGCACATGGCACAGCCACGCCAAGGGAGGTCTGAGATGACCCTCTCCGAGACCCTCCGCCGGACAGGGCTGTATACGCGTCCAGGTGGCAGAGCCCCAGGAATCACCACTTCCGGCAGAGACCAGGTCAAAATAGCCACTTCCGGCCGCGCTCCCGGTGTAACCAGAGCCGCTCCGCGGTGGGCGTGGTCCTGGGTGCGGTCACGCCCCTTACTTCCGGCTCGCCTCCGGCAGCGCCACTCGTTTCGGGAGTCGGGCTCCAGGGTCGTCCAAGGCTGCCCCGCCCACCCTGGCCCGCCCTTCCGTGACGTCACCTCCGGGGCGGACCGGGGCGGGGCCGAGCTGGGGCGGCTGCCCTGAGCTGTCTTGGCACCAGGTTCCGCGGCTCCGCTGCCGGCCACGTCCCCACGCCGGACCGCGGGCGCTTCCCCGCCGCCCGAGGGCCGCCGGGCCGCCTCAAGGCCTGCTGCGCCCGGGTAAGCGGGCCTCCCTGCTGTCCCGGGGAGCTGTTGTCACTGCTGCCTGTACCGGCTTGGGGGCGGAGAGGGGGAGGTGGGGTACATGGGGGACTCAAGGGGCGGCGGAGGGAGGCAACGACAAGATGAATGGGGATACGGAGTGCACACTGGTGACGATTGGAGGTGAGGAAGGAGGAGAGGAAGGATCGGAAGGAGGAGTCAGCTGGGGGAAGGATCGGGGATGGGGGAGCCCAAGAGGCAGGAGGCAAAAGGGGGCCTTAAGAGGACCCAGAACCGGAGAAGAAGAGACGCGGTCGGTCCAGTTTGGGAGCGAAGGAGGGAAAGTTGGGACACACCCGGATGGGTGGGGAGCTTAAAATGTCCTGCCCGGCCCAAGTCTGGGCCCCAGGAAGTGTTGCCCTCAACCACAGAGTTGGCCCTTTCAGGCGGCCCAGGCCTCCCCCAAGCCCTCTCTGCCTGAGAGGGGCTTATGTATTTCCACTTAACCTGCCTGCCTTCCCCCACGTGAGTCTGGGTAGCCGCTTAGTCTCTGCCATTAGCCGTTAAGCTAGTATGAGGAGCCAGCATCCACATGGTTTGCCATAAGACATAAATACCTAGTTAGAAATCTACTTTAATAATATTTTTCCCTCCTCCCTGGAGGAATCATCTCTAAAATTTCAATACAGATGTTCAGCTTATAGGCCAGACTTGCCTGATGGACAAAGGAATGTGGAATTTACCCACGTGGCCAGCAAAAATTAGGCTCTTGATCAGCAGTTAGCATCATATCCAAAATTCCAGAAGCCTGGAAGGAAGCAATATAATTAAGATGCTCTCCAGCGCTCCAGGTTCCCATCTGACACAGACACACATCCTTTGGAACCCAGGACAATGTCTAAAGACACAAAACCACACACCTGTGTTCCTTGCGTTCTGATACCAAAGTTCAGCCAGGTGACGTGTCAGGACAGATGTCTGTGGTTTGCCCTGCATTTGTTTCTGCAATCCCTATTCCTTGGTGTGTGTTTCTCCAGTTGGAGTCACATTGCCGCTGCCACTGATAAATAAGTTACTAGTGTGATGGAATGTGGCAGGTAACACTTGTGTTGGCCCAGGAACCTGTGTAAGCCAGAAAAAGGAATTAAGCAATTTGGAGTCTGATTTCAGGTAACTTGCATGCCTGTATATCACAGTCTCAAAGAAGTTTAAAAGTCAAGCCAAGATTGAGAGCACAGAAGTCGGAAGTGGGAGATGTTGAGAGGCAGCACAAAGTCAAGGACCAGAGAAGGATGATGACGTTGGCGCCCAGGGCCATGTCTCAGGGTGCCTTTCTCATGAAGTGTTGCCTGGCTCCTGTCCCTTCCCTGCACAGCTCGTAAGGAGCTGAGCCCTGAAAATGAGAACTCTGAGAACCAGCCTAACCTCCCGTCTTTCCTCCTGGCCTGCTCTCCTACTTAATACCATTTCCTTCCTTCTCCAAGGGTGTCTTTCTGAGACCTTGACCTGCCCAGTCTTTCTACACCAGATAATGAGAATAATGGCCAGACCCTACATTAAGGCTCACTGAAGCATTACTGACCCAGAGGACATGAGTTTGAGCAAATTCTGGGAGACAGTGAAAGACAGGGAAGCCTAGTGTGCTGCAGTCCATGGGGTCACAAAGAGTCGGACACAACTGAGTGACTGAACAGCACCAAAAGCCTCTGCAGGGGAAACCAGATACTAAGTCTTGGTGATGGTTTCTCCATTGGGCTTTCCTGGTGGCTTAGATGCAATGCAGGAGACCCAGGTTCAGTCCCTGGGTTGGGAAGATCCCCCAGAGAAGGAAATGGCAACCCACTCCAGTATTCTTGCCTAGAAAATCCCATAAATGGAGGTGCCTCATGGGCTACAGTCCATGGGTTGGCAAAGAGTGGGACACAACTGAGCGACTTCACTTACACTTTCCATTGTGAGTCAACTTCGATTAGCACAGGTCCCGACAGGGGAATCTTGACATTTAGAATACGGGGTTGGAAGTTGGGGGCTGTACCATACCAGAGGGATGAGGTCATGGTACAAGGGCCTGCTCTTGACTCTACACAGCGGCCAATTCCTGTCTCTGTAGCAGCGATTACCAGCCACACTGGCTGGGGGAAGAGGCAGTGATGGGAGCCGTCAGAGGTTTCTTGAAAGACCCGTGGAGTTCCCTGAGATAGCTTGAGAGATGCTCCATGAGCACGCCCACCTCATGTATGTAACTGTGTGTGTGGTTGCACACATGCACAGGTATGATTGCACGTGTACATGCAGGGCAGTGTGCATGCGTGTGTTGCCTTGTGCACGTGGATATGGGTACATGTGTAGCTCTGTGCATGAGTGTGACTGCCTATGCATGTGTGTGTGTGTTGCCAAAACCTTGACTCTGTGCACCATGGCCAAACAGATATGGAGACAGAGTCATGGAGGAGAAGGAAGGAGTGGCTTTCTTACCTTGGTATGCAAAGGTGAGCACAGTAGGCTAGTGCCTCAAGAACTGTGCCCCCTTCCCTGGGAAGAGGTTACTGTCAGGCATGGGGATGTGATAAGGAACAAGGCAGTAACTTCTGCAAAGTTTCAAAAGGGTGAGGTTGCTGACAAGATTAGGGTGTGTGCAGGGTGGGCCCGCTCCTAATCTTGATGAATCTGTTCAGGTCCATTAGTCTTGCCTTGGATTTCATCCTGTTCCTCCCATGGTTGGCAACTGTTAGGCCATTTGGAACTCAGAATAGGTCATGGAGCCTGGAGTCTTGCCTATAAGAAACGGGGGACAAAAAGATCTGTGTGCCCAGGAGCCCCACAGGGTCCTGGTTGGCACATGTGCACGTGGGTGTCTGTGATAGTGAGCCAGCCAGTGGTGGTCCTCAGGCATCACCACCTACTTGTGTCTGCCACTCTTGAAACTGGTGAGTTTCTTGCATTTCTTCCTGAGTATGTATCAGATATTCACCAATGACAGAATCATGCTTGCTGGTTCATGTCTTTACAACTGTATCCTGGACTCCTCTGAAGTTTTGGTTGGCTCCTAGGACAATGCTCCCTTCTCACTGGATATTACCCCCTGCTTTTCCTAAGGAGCACTTACTCTTTTTCAAACCCTAGATGCATCTTTTGCCAGAGTGGAGCATCTGCCTGGATCCCACCTGCGCCGTAGAGCGTGCCATGGCCTGGGAGTGCCCCGCAAAGCTGCCCTCACCTCCCGCAAAGCCATTCCTCACCCTGCGAGCCCTCAGTGCCAAGCCCTCAGCTCTCCAAGGAGGATGGCCCAGCCTGGGAGCGCGTCCTGAGCAGCTGCCTCTCGTGAGTGTCCAAGGTCCGCGGGCAGGGCCGCCTGCTCAGTGACAGGACGGGGAGCCCCGAAACAGCCCTGTGGGGGCTTTGCAGGGCCAGGGAGGGCAAAAGAAAGCACGAACATCAGAGAGCTGAGCCATCCAGTGACCAGGAGGCCTGGCCAGTGGTGCTGCACCGACAGAGCCTCTGCCTTCTCTGGTGGCCCCGGACATGGCTCCCCAGGTGGGCATGGGAACCATGTGGTCCTCTGGCCATCTTCTGTTTCTGGGAGGTTCCCTCTAGGCCTCGTGTTGTGACACCACAAGACTGTGGGAGCCCCTTGGGGTGCTGCATCTCAGCAATGTTGGGGGTGGAGGGGGCCTCTCATAGCAGAAGGGGCCCCGGGAAGAGGCCGCCTGGAGGCCGTCCCTGGACCAAGAATGGTACAGTCCACGTCTGTTCCAGGGTGAGGAGCTGGACAGAAGGAGGAAGTTCGTTCAGCCCCCTGAATCGGTTCCTCCTGCTTTAGCTGGAATGTCAGCTCTGAAGCTCAGTGAAGTCCCAGAGCCGGGGCGGGGGCCATGTCCCGCCCACTGCCTGTCTTTGTAAATAAAGTTTTATTGGGACACAGCCACACCCATCACCTGCCTAGGGTCCATGCCTGCTTTTGCAGGCTTGAGTAACCAAGACAGACTATATGGCCCACCAAGTCTGAAATACTTGCAATCAAGCTTCTCACAGGAAAAAGCTTGCTGATCCTGCTCTCGAGATTCGTAGTGAGGGGGCAGCGGAAGGCCCTAAGGCCCGGGGTGCATTCTGGAAGCCCTGAGATCCAGGGTTCAGACAGGGAGCACGTGGGGCTCGGTGGTGGGGGTATTGTCAATGCACTTGCTGGGTATGACTGGCCGAAGAGAGAACCATAGCAATACATTTATTTATGGAGAGCCCAGCTGCGTCTGCTTCAGCCGTGGACGGGTGGGGGTGGTGGTGGTGTGTGAACTCTTTGTGCCTGAAACCTCCCTGGTTCAGTCCGCGCTTGTGATATTGGTCTGTTTCTTCTCTGCCCACCCTACCCCCACGTGTTTCTGTCAAACAAAGAATGCCTTTTGCACTCAAGAGAGCAGATGCAAATATGTGGTTGGTAGGGCTGAGGGACCTTTTGACACCTGTGAGACCCCAGGAACCCTGACGGGATGGTTTTGGCAGGAAAGCGCACCATGAGGCTAAACTGAAGTTAGTGACACTTAGAAGCCTGGGGTGGGGTGGGGTGGGGTGGGGTGAGATGGTGTGGAGGTGCGGAGCACAGCCTTCCAGCAGAGTCTGTGTTCTGAGGGGGTTTTTTCCAGTTCTGGGGCCACCCTGCAATGTCCCCAAGGGGCCCCTTTATGCTGTACGGGGGCAGGTGGGGGACTGCAGGTCTTTCACGCGTCTGGTGGAAGTGAGTGCATCCAGGAGGGGCCGAGGGTCAGACATGGAAGGCTACCTCGCCATACTGACAGCTTACTGACCAGAGACGTGTTAATGCGTCTTCTGTTACCTAAACGTTGCTGTTCAGTCGTTTAGTCGTTTCCAGCTCTTTGTGACCCCATGGACTGCAGCACGCCAGGCTTCCCTCTCCTTTACCATCTCCTGGAGGTTGCTTAAAACTCATATCAATTGAGTCAATGATGCCATCCAACCATCTCATCCTCTGTCGTCCCCTTCTCCTCCCACCTTCAATCTTTCCCAGCATCAGGGTCTTTTCCCATGAGTCGGCTCTTTGCCATCAAGTGGCCAAAGTATTGGGGCTTCAGTTTCAGCATCAGTCCTTCCAGTGAATATTCAGGGTTACATTTCAGTGTTCACTTACCTGACAAATCACCAGCCACAGGCGATTTAGTTCCTGCCAGAATCCCTGGTCAGTAAGCTTTGGAATTATCCTGGGAGAGTAGGGGTTTAAGCAGCGGAGGCAGGGTGGGCTTTGTGGGTTATAGAACTCTCTCTGGCAGCTGTGGAGTGGCAGATGGCTCAGGGCCAGGATGGGGACGCTTGAAGGTGACTCTCGGGGCTGTTGGGAGGCCAGGGAACCAGCCCAGCTGCTGGTCCGTGCAGAGCAGCACTTAGCATCATGCCGGGCAAGGAATTGGTCAGCACATTTCCTTTAGGATGACTTGAAGGCTCCCGTGCAAGATGTTCTGTGGAACTCCAGAGCTTCGCGCTGATTGCCTAGGGTGCCTGCGGGCAGGACTGCTTGTGAGGGGTGCTCTCAGGGGCCCCAATCCCCTCACTTGCCCCCAGACTCCAGCAGCCTATGCTCCACCTGCCCTGGGGCTTCGTGGAGTGCTGGGCTGCGGGACTAACCTAGGGTGCGTGCGGCTGGGCCCCTGTCCAGGGAGGGCCTAGGCCTCGCGGGCGACCACGTGGGACTCAGGTGGTTGGGCGGGGCTGAGAACAGGCTCAGGGCCCACCCAGGACCAGCAGGGCATGAAGTGACGGGCCCCTCAAGGCTACCAGGCCCCTCGGTTGCCCTGCAGCGAGGAACGGGAGAGTGCTAGCACATGGGAGAGACCGGGGTGAGCATAGGGAGACCCGTGTGCCAGGGCAGTCAGTCCTGGCTGTGCCCAGTCCTCGTTCTGCTGATGCTCAGCCGCAGTGCGGACTCTCTCAGTCCCTGCAGCTGCACCGTCACCCTTGGAGACCAGGGCTTCTGCAAGCGGGCCCACTCAGCCAGCCCTCTGTCGCTCACCGTGGAACTCCTGGGCTGAGTCTCTCGGCCTTCTCGGACCCCGCCCCCTCCCACCTGCATCGCCCCGTGAGATGCCCGTTGCCTGGAACCCCTGTGTATACTTGCCACGCCCCTGCCTCGGTCGGACCTGCAGGGGCTCCCATCCCCCCACCCCCAAATCCAAACCACACCCGGGTGTCCGCCCCTCTTTAGTTTAGCCCCAGGTCTCACCGCACCATCCCCTGGTCCCCATTGTCATCACCCGCCACTCCCTCCTACCCACCTCCCTCACCCCTTTCCCAACAGGTGGATCCCATCTGTCTTTCAGAACATGGCCCAGATGGCACCCAGGAAACCGGCCCGGCACCCTGCCCCAGCCCCCACCAGCTGAATTCTGTGCCCCCTCTGGGCCCCACAGCACCCAGTCCCTTCCCACCCACCTCTGGGGCCTCCGCTCGGAGGGCCAGCCTCCCCTTCCCCCTTCACGGCCTGCCCAGGTGCCATCCCCTTGCTGTTTCCCGACCCTGAGTCACGGTCTGCTCTGCACTGGCACCAGCTTGCTGTGACCACTCTTCTGTGCCTCCCTCTGGAGGAGAGAGTCGTGTGGCTCTCATCTTTCTGCCCTGAGTCCATTGCATGGCACGTGCTGGACGGGTGGATGGGTGGCCGGATGACAGATGAGTGATGGCTGGCTGCTCGTGGCATTTCCCCGTGCGGTCAACCATCACAGGTCCTGCAGGCTGCAGGAGACGTTGAGGAGGACTTGGGTGATCTCGGTAACTGGAAGTCTTTATCCCTTCTCTCTGCTGCTCTTTTATGTTCTGAACTCCGGGGTGGGGTGGTGGGACTCGTAGTGAAATTGGGTCAAGAAGTGCTCTTAGCCCATGAAAGCAGGCACTGGGCCAACCGCTGGACACGTGGCTGAGAATTGGCACACCCTTCCCGCATGGCAGGCCCCGGGGGGACGTCTGGCTGGGTTTGCACCCTGCGGCCCGCCGGAGCCCTCCCTCACCCGTGACAGGGGAGCCCCTGCCCCCGCATTCCTGACCAGACGCCTGCTGTCTTGACCATAGGTCCCTCGGCCAAGCAGCAGGGAGCCCTTAGCAGCCTGAGGCGCGGCCGGCTGGGAGCCCCAGGGACCGCCCAGCCTTGCTCCCGGCCCACCTGCAAGATGTGGACAGCCCTTGTGCTCATTTGGGTTTCCTCCTGGTCCTTATCCGAAAGCCTGCACACATCCGAGCATCCACGTAAGTGAGAAAGCCGTGCGTCTGCTGGACGGGCCTGCCGGGTTCCCGGGGGCTGGGCTGGGAAGGCTTGTCCGGCCGACGTGGGACCCAGCCTCTGAGCCCTGCGAGGGTTATTCACTGGGTCCTCCAAAATTTCATTTGTTCTGTAAACCCAGTCTTTACTGGGGAGCTGGTCGACCCAAACAGCACTTGTTTAGTTGCGCTTCTCCTCTGTGCCAGGCACGGTGCATCCCCAGAAATATCTCCGTAAGTCCTTCCATAAAGCCAAGAGTTGTGGCACGGTGTGAATATCTGGGCAACGATTTAGCTGCTTTGAAAACCTGGTGTGTGTTGGATAGATTTTTTTTTTTTAATGGTGAATCATACCTGTGATGTGAGACTTTGGTATTTTGGGAATTGGATCAAAGGGTGAAGCTCTGAAGTCTTCCGTGCATTTGGGGTTCAGAGAGCAAAGGAGTTTTTAAACCACAGTGCTGAGCACCTGTGTGATGGGCTGCAGGCCAGAGGTGCGCGGTGAGCTAAGAGGGAACCCTGGGCCCGCGTCACCGTCATCCTCCCTGGCCAGCCCCACGGGCCAGAAACTCAGACTAGCTCTGAATAATCCACCTGAGTAATCCACTTTTCTAATGAGAAGACGATCATTTGTCTTTCTCCTTTTCCGACTCTTAACGGTACGCAGTCCTCAACCAGACGTGGGACCACTCGGACACAAACTCGTCCGTGGAAACAGTGACCGGAGTCTTGAACAGAACAGCTGATATGACCCCGGCGACACCGTCTCCCATCACACTGACCAGAGGGACTTGGGGAGGCGACCACACCTCTCCTGCAGTCACAGCGGGGACAACACACAGGACAGACGTGGGCACTTCCGTGACAGCTGGAGGGACCCGGGCCGGAGCCGCCTCCAGGGCACCCACGCCGCCCGCCCCTGTGTCTGCCTGGAGGACCCCGTCCTCACCCGGCACCCGGGCGCCTGGCAACAGCTCGTCGTCTAGGCCAGTGACAGCCATGCCACCCGCCACACCCACACTGGCCACGAGTGCCCAGCCCGCTGCCGCGACCCCCGCCAGTGTCAGCAGCCCCGCAGGCTCACCCGGTCCTCCCGGGTCCACTGCCAGCCTCTCCACAGCCAGCCTGACGCCCTCGAGTCCCCGAGTACCCAGTGTGTCCACGCAGGGCCCCACCGTCCAGGTGCCGACGCCAGCGCCCGGGACTGTGGATGACACAGCCCGGAGGCCCGCACCCACCCTCTTAAACACAACCCCAGAGCCCACCTCCCCATCTGCGGCTTCCGTGTCCACAACCGTGGGCACCACAACCAAGGCCCCTGCGCCGACCGTCAGCTCAGCGGCAGCACCCACACCTCACACCAGCCCGGCCCCCGCGGTGGAGGCCACGACCCCCACGACACGGCCCAGCCCTGCCACATCCACGCCGGGGGCCCCAGAGCCGGGCACAACTCAGGTGCCGGAGCAGGCCAGGCCTGTGGCCACGCCTGGTATTACTCCCCCAGGGCCGACCCCTGGGGACTCCAAGGTGCCCCCCACAGACTCGTGCCAGCCCAGCACCCAGGGCCGGTACCTGGTGGTCTCCAGCGAGCCCCTGACCCTGTCCTCTGTGAACAGAAGTTTCCTCCTGGCGGTGCTCTTGCTGGGGGTCACCCTCTTCATCACGGTCCTGATCCTGTTCTCCCTGCAGGCCTACGAGAGCTACAGGAAGAAGGACTACACGCAGGTGGACTATCTCATCAACGGCATGTACGCCGATTCCGAGATGTGACCTGCGGCTCGGGGCCTGGCGCTGGGCCCCCCGCCTCCCTCTCCGGGTTGCCTCTGAGGCCAAACCAAGTGCTTCCAGATTCTTTTGGTGCAATTTAGGAGACATGCCAGATGCTTAAACACATTTAATTGCTGTCAAGATTAATTCCACGATCACTAAAGAGCGGCTGCTTTTTTCATATTTATTTTTGTAACGATCATGTTGACATAGGGCCAGTGGTTCTGCCTCGGGATGGGGCGGGCGGGCCCCCCGGGGTGGGTCCTGACCTAAATTAAAGCAATGACCCCTTTCCACTCAGACTGCGTCTGACCATTTGTGTGGGCTGCGTCCTGGCCCCCCCCCACCCCGTCACGCCCCAGGGAGCCTTTTCGAGATCGTGCGATGGCGTGCAATATTGTCGATGTTGAATGTACTGTGAGGTCCTGGACGTGGGCTGTGTCTGCTGCTCTCCTGGGCTTCGCTCTTAGGCCTGACCCTGCCTGAGCCTGGGCGGGAGAAGCCTCTGCCCGTGAGGGTCCCTGGCACCGCATGGACGTGAACCCTTTCCTCAAATCCTCCTTTCTTGGGACTGTGACGTGGACACATGGAGCCTGCTTTGGATGCGAGAGCCAAGTGCAGCACACAAACCATGTGTGAGCAACAGTGTAACCAGGTGGGCGGGGTCTGCGCAGGCTCGGCTCTCGAGGACCCGGCACGGCTCACGTTGTGCTCTGACCACGTGGGAGCCTGGTCAGGTGGCGCCGTGGGCTGTCATTTACCAGCACTGCACCCCAGGGGAGCCCCAGGGCCGAGCGAGCCCGAGGCCAGGCCCCACGTGCCCAGCAGCCCTCCGAGCCCACACTGCGCTTGTCACGTGCCACACTCTCTTAGTGCTCAGCGCACGTGGCTCGGCGCCCACACGCGCCCCAGGACACCAGCGCTCTGAGCCCTGTTTTAAAGGCGGGACCACCGAGACTCAGAGGAGACCTCACTCAACCGCAGAGGGCCAGAGTCAGAGTTTCACCGGTTCCAGAGGCCGGCTCTTTCCTCAGCAGCTTTGTTTTACAGCTGCCCAGACCGCACTTGGGTTTCGGGCCTCACCGCGTGCCTGCCCAAGGTAGGGAGAGCTGGCCTGCAGCACGTGAGACCGGTTTCCAAGCCACGTCTCTGAGGTGTGTGACTTGCAGCACGGGGACACTGGTGGGGACTCAGCACCCTGTGAAATGCGGAGGCAGTCACATCTGTCGTGGCCCTGGGGTCATGCTGCCTGGCAAGATTCGAGGACTGGGGTTGACTTCCTTCTCAACTACTCTGAGCCCTGCGGAGGAGACTACCTGGAGACGCCAGGGTCCCCATCACAGGGGTCTCCTGAGCTAGACCTGTGTGTCTGGATCCTCCTATTTCAGTCTGCCTCCAAAAAGAATTTCGAATGGTGCATAATAAGAGACAATGACAGGGTCTTCTCTGATAGCTCAGTGGGCCAAGAATCCACCTGCCAAGGTAGGAGACGTGGCTTCCATCTATGGGTTGAGAAGATCCCCTAGAGGAGGAAAGGGCCACCTACTCCAGTATTCTTTCCCGGAGAATCCCACGGACAGAGGAGCCTGGCGGGGTACAGTCCGTGGGGTCGCAGAGTCAGACAGGGCTGAGTGATTGAACACACACACAAAACATGAAGACAGTGAAACCATCTGAAATGAGAGCCATGGGTGGAGGATATACAGAGCAGAGTGGGGGGATCCAAACAGTCCTCCCCTGTCTTCCAGCTCCATCTGGGGTTTCCCCAGCCCCTCTCTCTCACTGGTTGGTCCAGCAGCCCCCTTTCCTTCCCCAGCAGCCATGCTGTGCCTCCGACAGCTGGGCCCCCACCAGCCTCTGCCATGCATACATGCTCAGTCATGTCCGACTCTGCGACCCCATGGACTTTAGCCCTCCAGGCTGCTCCTCTGTCCACGGGATTCTCCAGGCAAGAAGACTGGAGAGGGCTGCCAGTTCCTATTCCAGGGGATCTTCCCAACCCAGGGATTGGTCCCACGTCCCACTGGCCTACACGCCTCTGTTTCTCCCTGCCCCAGCAGACCATCTTATGCTTGAGCCCGTCTGCTCTTTGATCCCAGGTACTGGCACTCCGATTGTGGCTGAGAAGGTGTCAGCCTCACCGACCGGAGCTCAGGCCAGCCTGCAGCTCCATCCTCAGATCTAAGAAGTCATCTCTGCGTGTCAGGGTGAACAGTTGGGGGATTTAGGGAATGACCTTTCTCTGCCCGCATCACCCCAGCGGCATGATGGTACTGGCCTGTTAAGGGCAGGCTCCACACCCTATCCTATCTGGATGAGTCCCTCGACGGACAGAGCCCAGACTCCCATGTGAACCACGGCACACTGGGCGCTGTGTTCCTTTGCAGGGATGTAGGGCAAGGGGCAACCCGCGGGGCTGGCTTTCATCCTTAGCTTGTGACCAGGGATCTGCCTCCAAGGAATGGGGGCGTGGAGTGCCACAGGGCTCGCCAGTCCCCCTGCCCCAGCTGGGACTCCAAGTCTTTTCGCCCCAAGAACCCACTGTGCTTTCTACTCCTCCCTCCTAGGGTCCTGCTGCCATCATTTTGGCTCCTGTCTTTTGTTGTTGTTCGGTCGCTAAGTCGTGTCTGACTCTGCGACCCCATGGACTGCAGCACGCCAGCCTTCCCTGGCTTTTGCCGTCTCCTGGAGTTTGCTCAGATGCACCTCCATTGAGTCTGGGGCTCCTGCTGGCGGACCGCAAATCTGTAACACGCAAGGCCAAGCTCAGCTGTGGCCCCCAGGAACGTGATTGACCCCCAGGGTTCTTCCTAAAGCCAACAGCATCACCACTTACCTGAGCTGGATACCCGGGCTTCACCCTCGAGTCCAGCTGGCCATCCCAAGCTTTCCTGTGAGCGGGCCTCTCCCAGCCTGAGGTCTCCTGCCCTACCTGGGGGCCCAGCGCCACCTGCCCCCTCCTCCCCAGCCGTCCTCCACCCTGCAGCCAGGGCACCCTCAAAAATACGAGCCTGACCACAGCTGTCCCTGCCAACAGTCTTTCCCGGGATGAAGACCAAACTGCCAGGCCGGGCCTTCCAGGCCAGAGCAAACCTTCCAGGGGGCCCTGGCCCCCAGCAGAGCCTGAGGGGAGGGGCAAGTCTCAGGAAGGCTCGCAGGAGACGGGGAGCACACGGGGCCCCTCCACGCAGGCCTTCCACTCTAGGGGCTGCGTGTCTGAGCCCAGACTGTCCCCGGCCCGGAGGCCACCGGCCTGCAGGAGGCCAGGCGGAAAGGCCCTGCAGACCTATTCAGTGCCCCCTGTTTGGCAGCCAACTGGGGGTTCAGGCGTGCAGCTGCCACACACTCCCCCACAGCTTGAGATCTGAACGATGATTGTGAGAAGGAAAGAAGAGACACACGGGGTGCCCGACCCGCCGGGGATGCTGGGGCGGGGGGCTGTCTGGCAGAGGGGCTCAAGCCTCTTCCCCGGCTCTTTGCTCCGCGGCAGGGGCTGTGGCTGCTTCGGGGAGGAGCAGGCTCCCAGCTCCATAGGTAAGAGGTGCCAGATCAAGGTGAGATGCGTCAGATTTGGAGCTTGGCCCCCAAAAGCGATTTCTTCCCTTCACAGTGCGGAAGGTGAGGCACATGAAGGCCAAGGGGCTTGCCCAAGGCCACTGCTCACCCTCCAAGCAGTGGCGGGACAGGGTTCACTCCGGGTCGGTCTGTCCGTCTGCGAATACCGGCCACCACGCGGCGGCTGTCACATTCCTCTGGGCGCAGCCCCGAGTCCGCAAACCGGCGCAGTCCCTGGGCTCCCCCTGGTGGCCGAGCTGCCCTCCTTCACCCTGGGTGCTGGCCCTGGCCTGAGGCTCTGGGGGTGGGGGAATCCCTCCAGCCTGGCACTGGGGACGCCTTCCCGGTCACCCCACACTGGAAGGACTCCCCCACTCATTGCTAGACCGGGCCTCCCTTGTGGTAGACACAATGCTCTTGGAGGCGTTGCATCATCTGTGCCTGTAACTGTCTCCCCGCGGGACGAAGCCAGGCCAGGGTTCAGGAATGTGCAGTAAATGCATACTCGGGCTCAGGGGCTTCTCTCCCGGAGCCCCACCAGCTGGGTTACTTGGGGCAGACAGTTCACCCTCAGCCACTTTTTATTCCTGCAACTCTGCTTAAAAAGGGAGGCCAAGGTTTATCCAGCAGGTACTGACAATAGCTGGTATTTTTTGAGCACTCACTATGTCTCAGACTGGAGTGCCTTCCAGCTTTCATCTCACTGAATCATCTCAGACCCCGCGGCCTGCTTCCCCACCCACCCACAACATCCTCCACACAGAAGCCCGATCACCACGTGCTCCTGCCTAGACCCCCAGATTTTTGTTAGGACAAAAATCCAAACAAGGGAACTGAGAACACAGGTGGCCAGGGGGAGGCGTTCATGAAAAGCGAGGGAGATGGGGGACCCAGGTGGAGAGCCCATGAACGCAGAGCCCCCGCACAGGGAACAGACTGGCCAGCCGGAGGAGGGAGGGGAGAGGCAGGTCAGGGTCAAGGCCAGGGTGAGGAGGTAGGGCCCCGGGGGGTTTTCAGCCGAGGAATAATGTCCTCCAGCTTGGGGGATGTCCAAAATCCCCAAAGTTACTTTGTTGGGAATTCCCTAGTGACCCAAGGGTTAGGACTTGGCACTTGTACTGCCACAGCCCCGGTTCAGTCCTTGGTGGGGGAACGTAATTCCCACAAACCAGCTCAGCGTAGGTTGAAAAAAACTACTTTGTTGAGCATAGTACTTCTTACAGATGAGGTGATGTGCTGTCTGGGGTGCAGGAAGGGAGCGTGGTGGTGTGTCGGGGGGGACACATCATAGTAGTCCTGAACACGGAAGATGGTTGGTGGGCTTGTCACTGGTCATCCTGCTTGCTCTGTGCTTGTATGTCTGCAGTTTCCCTGATAAAAAGTTAGAAGAAGAGAAAGGAGGGGGGTAGAGTTCGATTTAACTCTCTTAAGTGAAAGATCCTTCTGGT